CCCCGGGAGCCCCTGTTCCCCTGGAAGAAGAGGCTACAGTTCAGTGATGGGGTTTGAGCAGAGCCCAGCACCGGGAGAGCGGGGAAGCCCTGGGCCTCCAGGGCTGCCTCCAGAACCAGTGATGACTCTGGGACTTTTCAGTGACATTTGAGAGGAGGGTGGGAGCTGCCTGTGCTGCTCTTGGGGACAGATAACAGACGGTTACATCCCCGACTGCCAGCAGGGCTGAGGCACACCCTGCCCCAGCAAGGAGTCTCAAGCAGCATGAACCAGTTGATCCTCCTCTGCAGGGGAGGACTGTGGGGGACCGGATCACCCACACCCAGCACAAAGGCTGCCAGGGATAAGGAGAACCCTGGAGGCAGAGGATGAAGGGAGGGCACTGGCGCCGCCGTTCCAGCCACAACCGCCCCATCAGGTTCCTGCCACCACCGAGAGGCTTCAACACCAGCCCTGGCTCCTGCTCCCCAACTTACAGATCAGGAGCTGATGTGGGTCCAGCCCAGGGCCAGCAGAACCTCCCTGCCCCAGCCCAGCATCTCCCAGGGGCTCCCCGAGCTGCCCCAGCCAGGCCCCTCGCATGGGGGTGTCCACAAAGGGCTCCAGCAAACAGCGCTGGCCTGGGGCCCATCCACGCCACAGGACTTGGTGAGCAGAACAGGGCCAAGCACAAGCCCCAGCAAAGAAAGAAAAAGCCCCCATGTACTCAGAGCCGGGAGGATCCCGACCCACCCCGGATGTGCCCCAGAGCTTCTCTCACCCGTTTGTCACATCACACATCCCATGTAAACCCAAATCCCCTCCCAGCCCCCAGCCTTGCAAGCCACCCCTGCAGGTAACTTGGCTTTCTGTCAGCCCTGGGGCACTGCCTGGCTGGGGGGGTGCCCAGCAAGACCCCTTCCCATCGGGATCCAAGCTCAACCAGCCCTGCACCCCCACATGCAGACAAAACCCCCAGGGAAGCTGTGAGGCCACCTCTTCTTCCATCTTCTAGAGGGGAAAAATCACCCCCAAAGCTCCACACGGGCACGGCCAACGTCAGGCTTCCCTTATCAGCTCTAACAGGAATATTCCTGGTGATGCCCAGAGAGCAGAGCCCGCTCTGGGAACACACTAACACCCCCCAGCACCAGACACCAGCTCCCTGCCTCCCTCACACGAGCTGCATTCCTGGCATGCCAAAGGATGCTTTAAAAAGTAAAGTTATTTCGGGCAAGATTCCTTCTCTTATCGGAGCCTCCCCCAGCCCGTTTATTCCAGCTCCCACCTCCCTCCAGCCCAGCCACCCCCGGAGGGGCAGCACGGGAGCTACAACCTGGCAGGTCCTGATCTCACCAGACACTTCCCTGGCAGCAGCTCTGCCAGTGCCCTGTGCCCACCAGCCCGGCTGGGTGGGAGCCCAAGGGAAC